GGCTACGTCAACTTCGAGTTCGAGCAAGCCCTCACTCGATCATAAAGCCCAAGGGCTATCTTAACCCGAGTTCAGACAAACTCTCACTCGGGGACTATCTATAAAGCCTAAGGGCTAACTCTATTTCGATTTCGAGCAAATCCTCACTCGACTATAAAGCCTAAGGGATAACTCTACTTCGAGTTCAAGTAAGCCCTCACTCGATCATTAAAGCCCAAGGGCTATCCTAACCCGAGTTCGAGCAAATTCTCACTTGGGGACTATCTATAAAGCCCAAGGGCTAACTTTACTTTGAGTTCGAGCAAATCCTCACTCGACTATAAAGCCTAAGGGCTAACTTCACTTCGAGTTCGAGCAAGGCCTCACTCGATCATTAAAGCCCAAGGGCTATCCTAACCCGAGTTCGAGCAAATTCTTACTCGGGGACTATCTATAAAGCCTAAGGGCTAACTTTAATTCGAGTTCGAGCAAATCCTCGCTCGACTACTAAGCCCAAGGGCTACCCGAGTTTGAAAAAATTCTTACTCGGGGGCTATCTTTCGAGCCCAAGGGCCATCTTATCTCGAGTTCGAGCATGTCCTCGCTCGATCATAAAGCCTAAGGGCTATTTTCCTTTCGAGTTCGAGCAAGTAATCACTCGACTACTAAGCCCAAGGGCTACCCGAGTTCAAAAAAATTCTCACTCGGGGACTATCTTTCGAGACCAAGGGCCACCTTATCTCGAGTTCGAGCATGTACTCACTCAACCATCAAGCCCAAGGGCTACCTTACCCCAAGATCGAGCAAATCGACTATTGAGCCTACGAGCTACTTAAACTCATGTTCAAATGGTCATTCGTGGTCCATTGATTAGAAACGTTCGAGGGCAGTACTTATTGTCGGTCATTACCATCCCAAACTCTGGACCTTCAAAGCAATTTTAAGCTAATGCGCTTTGACCCGCACAAAAGGGTAACAGATTCAGAAGCCATGGAAAGTAAAAAGCTTTATATATTCGTCAAAACCATTTTACAAGGGCTATAGGTACCGATCAAGAATTCTTTACAGGGGCCGATCAGCCTCAAAATAAAAGCAAAAAATTACGAAAAACACGAAGCCTAAGCAGCACGATCCTTATCGGTAAAATTGTCTTCACCCTTAGAATCTTCTCCACCGCCAGACTCGCTAAAGTTTCGCGGAGTCTCCCTCGGGAAAGGTCAGCTTCCGAGCTTTTGTTTCCTCTGTCGCTTACGTCACGGTGATGGTGTCATGGCAAATTGGGGTAAAGATGGAGGACTCAATTCATTTCTTGTCATTATACTCCAAAAAACGAGGGGACTATCTGTATACGGTAGAAATCGGGGCTACCCGATTTCACTATTTGATCGAAACAAGAACGTTGCATCGAATAGCTAAGGCATCAAGTTCAAGATCGAAGTCTCTTTCGAGATCGAAGTTGGTATCAACCGAAGCCAGGGGAGATAGACTTCGAGTAACATCGGGGATATATTAGTAACGGAAAGAGCGAGATATCCGTGATTGGTCGGGGATCGTGGCATGAATCTTGGAACGGACCAAATCAGAAACGGGTAATTAGCTGTTTATACGATTTCCATATGTAATTAGAGACATACCATAATTAGGTTTCCTTTACTATACAAAGAGGAGTTTCAATCATTTGTAGGATCATTATTCACCGAAACATAAGCAATATAACTCTTCTTTTCTGACTCGTATTCTTGTTCATCAATTTATCCAATCTTTACCGTTCTCATACTTTATCACCTCAAGGGTACCTTAATTCAAGGCTGAAGCTTTGTTTGCATACTGGTTTGGATTATTTACAGTTCAATTCTACCTCTTATTTTCTTACTAATCAATTGGTATTGGGTGAAATCACATATCCTTAAAACCACATTATAAATTTAATTGTTATCCGATTTTTAGGATAAGCAAAAAGTATTCACAAATTATTTAGAACTGCTTCCAATTTTAAACAGTCAACGAAAATACCTAATTTATATTACACTATACTATTAAATAACAATTTTATTTTATCTGGCATCTATTTTTCTCAATTTTCATGAAGCATAGACTATGGCATATCTAGTGAATAGGTGTACAAAAGTGGGAGACACTTGAAAAGATCAAATTTATGGTTAAATTTTTAATATCAATTGAGTTTTAAACTGAAATGGTCTCTTAAATTTAGAAGTAGGTCCATTTGCATCTGTATGTGTTATGTTGAGCATGTATAGAGTCCGTTTGGATTAGCTGATTTGAAGTAGCTGATAAACATTAAGTGCTGAAAAGCTCTTTTAAGTGCTGAAACTGATTTAAGAAATAAGCAGTTACGTGTTTGGATACAAGTGCTGAAATTGATAATAAGTTGTTGCAGTATTTGATAAAAAAGTGCTGATAAGCTCTTTTTCTGTTAAAATGACTTAAATAACCTTAGAACTGTTTACACTTATAAGGGCGTAATTTCTTCAAAATTTTAGATTCCAGATCGATTCAAATACAAAATATTCTATTTGTCATTTTATTTTAAATACAAGTGTGCTTAGATAAGATAACTTTTATGATAAATATAATTTATTTTATGATAAGCATATAATCATAAGTTATAATAATTAATAAATTAACAAAAGTTTCTTAGTAAAAAATAAACCTAAATAGGATAAAATATTTGAAGAGAAACAAACATTATCTTCATCACCACAACACTTAAAAAGCAATACACCAAAAATTTAATATGTCCTCATTTATTACATATAATTCATGATTAATACACAATCACATAGATACAAATATGCAAAGGAATAGAGAATTTGCTTATCTTAAATAGTCAATGAGAATTACAGACTTGAAGAGGCTGGGGAGTTTGGAGGGGGGGGGGGGGGGTCAAGGTTGAACGAATACGTGTAGGCAGGTGAGTATCAATGTAGAGTTTGTCTAAAAAACGAATATTTTAAGGATAAAATAGTAAAAATCTTGGTCAAACTTAAAGTGCTTATAAGCTAAAAATTCATAAGCTCGGGGTGACCAGCTTATTACTTTTGGCTTATTTTTGACTTATAAGCACTTGGTTTATAAGCATTTTTAATTTTACTAAACGCGTAGATAAGCCGAAAAATGCTTATAAGCTAGTTTGACCAGCTTATAAGCTTAGCCAAACACCCTCATAGTCTTTTAAGTTTGCAAAACTTAAGAGCCCGTTTGGTGATAAGAATTTTTTCATTTTTTTTTCATTTTTAAAAAAAAATGTTTGGCCATAAAATTTTCAATTTTCACTTGAAAATGAATTTTGGAATTTTTCAGAAATTTAAAAAACTCCAAAAAACTACAACAACAACAGCAACAACCCAGTGTAATCCCACTAGTGGGGTCTGGGGAGGGTAGTGTGTACGCAGACCTTACCCCTACCTTGGGTAGAGAGGCTTTTTCCAAATAGACCCTCGGCTTCCTTCCCACCAAGAACTCCCCACCTTGCTCTTGGGGTGACTCGAACTCACAACCTCTTGGTTGGAAGTGGGGGTTGCTTACCATCAGAGCAACCCCTCTTGTCCAAAAAATTGTGTTTCAAAATTTTCACTCAGATCACTCACAAAACTTCAAAAATAACCAAAAATTATATTCATGTCCAAATACAACTCTAATTTTCAAATACCATTTTCACTTGAATTTTTCTTCCACTTTTTTTTTTTTTTTGGAATTTTACAATTCTTATGTCCAAACGCCCACGCATGGTCTAACAGAGAAAATATCCAAATTGACCATTAAAACTAATTAAAATATCACGGGTTTTTCGGTGACTAATACAAAAAAAATTCTGATTGATTACTTTTCAATTTTATTTTTCTCTTTATTTCAGCACTAGTCACACACACACAAAAGAAAAAATTAGAAAAGTTCAAATGAGAATCACTATAAAAACAAAAAGAAAGGTCTATAGTAATGAAAATAAATCGCGATAGAACGAACATATGAAATTGTACAAAAATATCAATCACAATCGTTTTTTAGCTTGGATACGTGAAAAACTTATGATTAATTAGTTTACTTCGGGTGGACCAAAAGTGCTCAACTTTTATAAATTTATTCGAAAAAATGATCGTATATGCTCAAAGTAATAAAATAGAGATGAAAATAAATTTACTCTTGAACTTAAGGGATCAATTAGATTAAATTCTCCTAAAATATTTTCCTTCCTCTCATCTCCTACATCCATTTATGGCTTTTTTCTCTTAGAATAACGGTAAAGTTATCTTCGCGTAATTTATAAGTTACGGGTTTAAGCCGTATAAGCAATCACCAGTGCTTGCATTAGGGTAAGCTGTCTACATCACACCCCTTGATGTGCGACCTTGATGTGCTATCCTTCTCTAAACCCTGTGTAAATACGGAATACTTTACATACCGAACTGGTTTTTTTTTTTTTTATCATTTAATTTTGTTTACAAATTTATGTAATTTATTTTGCATGGATACAGCTATGAAATTGAACACTTGGAAGCCCTTTTCACACTGCCAAAGTGAAACCAGACAAACGCTCGTTCGTCGCTACTCCAACTTGAAAGACTCTAGGTTTTTATTACTCCACAATGGTTTGCCACCGTAATTAATACAAAAACCAATGTCCTTTTTTTGACCTTCCACCATTAAACCACCCTACACAGTTCACACCACGCGTCCCTCCCCCTCTCTATATGTATAGAACAAGACACAATTCTTCACTGACAAGTTTAAACTCAAAGTTAAAAATAAAAAAAATAAAATAAAATTAATTTTTTTAATACTGAATTTGTTTTGAAAAGATTCCCATGGAGAAAGTGAAGAAAGGCCAATTGGTATAACATCATGGTTCTGAACTTACATTTGGCCAAGTGTTAAAAAGATTAATTAACTCAAGTTTAATATTAACCCAAGTTAACTTAACTTAACTTACCTCACTCTTTGACCCCCCACCCCCCACCCAAACTCATAAAGGGTGGGTGGTGTTGGTCAGCTTATAACTCCATTCTAACCCAAATGCAATTCTTGTATTCCTCACTCTGTCTCTCTGTCTCTTCTTAATTTGGTAAACCACTTTGGTTTACCAGAAAAGCAGCAAAGCAAAGAAGAGTGAAAACAAGAAAAGAAAGAGGAGACTCTTTTTTTCTTGATTTTACACACCAACCCACTCTCTATTTTCACCTTCCAGTCCTCAACCCAACCTCCTAAATCCAACATAATTCAATACCCAGAACACCCACATTGCCATTTTTATCAATTGAGAAAACCCCAAAAAGGAAAAAATCAGGAATTCAAAGATTAAAGATTGAATTTTTATTTTCTAGGCAAAAAAAGTTATGAAGAAATCTCCATCTTTTTCTTTTTCTTGTTCCTCTTCTTCTTCCTCATCTTCATGCATTGAGCAAATCCATGAAGAAACAGAGAAGCAAAAGCTGAAACCAAAGCCAAAATCAAAACCCAGAGCTAAACGTGCTACTAGAGCCAAGAAAATTGTAAATGCTGATTCTCCTAATTCTTCTACTGCTAGAAGAAGCTCAATTTACAGAGGTGTAACCAGGTATGTTTAAATTTTTTCTTAAACCCCACTAAATTCTCAGTTCTAATTCACACAGTAACACACACAATCAAGGTGTTTGTTAGAAATCATAAATTCAATTGGATTTTTGTACTGGGTTTCGGTTTTTGGTTGCATGCATGAAAAAATGGGTGATAAAAAAAATGTTCGATTTTTTTCTTTTCTTTTGTTAATTAAATTATTTGCAGGCATAGATGGACAGGAAGATATGAAGCTCACCTATGGGACAAGAGTACTTGGAATAGCATTCAGAATAAGAGAGGACGACAAAGTGAATGCTCTTCTTTTACTCATTTTTTTAATCTTTCTTTCCTTTTATTTATTTATTTGGATTCAAAAAGAAAAAAGAATTGAATTCAATGAGATCTGCAGTAAATATTATATTACAGCAATTTTTACTTTTAATCTCATTTTTGTTAATTTAATTAATTATCTGACTGTGTTCTTTGTTGGTTCTTGTGATGATCCCTCTCTGTCACTTGCAACGTTAACAAAAACGCCTCTTGCTGCTTAGTTTATTTGGGTAAGCACTAAACCTCTTGCAAATTTTTTGACTTTAGATAAATCAAGAATTATTAGTGGGGAGAAATGTACAAGTGTTTTCAGCACTATGTACAACACCTTTTATGCATACGTTGTTCTAAAAGTAATTTCAGTTGTTTGACTACTTCTTTTAATTAAAAATCAACAAAAAGACAAATTAATTGCAAAATTTTAAATGTCATTTTTAATTTGCTATTAAATGCAGGAGCTTATGATAGTGAGGAAGCTGCTGCCCGAACTTATGATCTTGCGGCCCTTAAGTACTGGGGACCCACTACTACACTTAATTTTCCGGTAATTAAATTCTCATATTTTCTCAATAAATTCCATTTTTTCCATTTTTATATATAATTTAGAAATTTTTTAAACTATTTTGCATGTGAAAAAAGTTAGGGGGGTGTTTTTTATTAGTTTTCTTTTGTTTTTATTGGAGGAGAAAACCGTAGTACAGTGACAAAAATAGTCATCTATAGACAAATAAGGCTACGGTACAATATTTGATTCGTGAGGTATAACAAAACGATGCAGATCGAAACGTATAGCAAAGAGCTTGAAGAAATGCAGAGGCTATCAAAGGAAGAGTACTTGGCTTCATTACGGCGACTGAGCAGTGGATTTTCTAGGGGTGTTTCCAAATATCGTGGCGTCGCAAGGTATTTATATATTAAAAAAATATGCTTTAAATTATTTCAATAATTTAAAAAATTTAATTAGAAAAAGTAAAAAAAGACAAAGCAACATGCAATTTTAATTTTTACTTATATTAAGCGTACATTTAGTAGAAGTCAACAAATTTTGTGGATTTTCATGCTTTTTGCGCACAACTGGTTAAGTGGGACCCACTGGCACCTAGTTTTCAGTAGGACCCATTTGGATTCACTGTCTATATGTGGGCTGTGGGGTGTGAGTGTGTGACCGTGTGAGTCATGCTTAAGTGATTATGGATTCGTAAAATTGACCATTCTAAGAGCTGCATTTTGCAAAAATAACCCCTTAATTTTGGATAGAACGCAAATTTGACCCGTTATTATTGGATTTTGATTTGGACAGGCACCACCATAATGGTCGATGGGAAGCACGAATTGGACGAGTCTTTGGAAATAAGTACCTCTATTTGGGAACTTACAGTATGTTTTTAACTTTTCTTTCTTTCATTTTGCGCCTTAAAAACTGGTTAGTGTGATTTCGAGCACTAGTTTCTTGGTTGGTTCAGTTTTTTTTTATTCTCAGGACTCGAATCAAATCCGAAACTTTTGGTTGAGGGTGAGATATCTTAGCAGTTTAGGAGATTCAATACTTTGGAAAGATTTATCACTTTTGCATGTCTAACATAAATCTAAATAGATTCAATAGGATTAAAGCTGACATGGCACATGATCATTGGTGTTTTATATTATTTACTGCGATCAAAAGTTAAAAGGCTGAGGTGGTCCAATATTAAATATTTGATGCAGATCTTTGTGGACCGTACAAAAAGTTAAGACTTTCTGTTCAACCTTATAAAAACTGAAATATTCCTCTTTTTTTCTTTAGTGGGTTTAAGCCTTACCCATTTTGTTCTGTGGTTTAGGTTTGACTAAACTAGAAGAATAAACAAAAAATTACTACTACTAATTTCTACATTTAAGCAATCAATAGCTACACATCCTCTTTAGACCATATGATCCTAGTTACTCACTAATAAGCAAAGCTTGACCTGGGATTTGGCCGGTTCCGACCATCGAGTGGGTCCCACATATTCATTAATAACATTTTCTAGCAAAAAGTTTTAAGTGGGTTGTTAAATTAAACATCACTTCCTATATTAAGTAAATTGAATATGGCCCTTTAATCGTGTATGGCCCACCTTAAAATTGAAATATTTTTTTATGGATATAAATATTGCCTTTTTAGTTATATAGTGTAACAACTTGCTCCATTCGGCAACTTAATTGAGCCAATTTTGATTTTTATGAAATTACCTGAATCATGTAGATGCTATGTACTTAGTTAAGTGGGAGATATTAATTACTGTAGTAGTAAGAGATTTGAATAGTGATTAAGATAACTGTTTAATATTAATCTCAGTGTATAGATCTTGGCTCGTGATATTGTCAGACCCTTGATTCATGCTAATGGGATGAATAATTTATGTTTAATCTAAGTAGACAATTATGCCTTTGGATTGATGCATACTGTCTCATCATCCTTATTTCCAACTATACACTCCAAAAAACTAACCCTGATCAGTGGTAAGAAGGCTGCAAAGACCACACCCTCCTTTATCATTGATGACATGGCTCTTTCACTTTAAGTGATGCATAAGGTACAATCTCTAAAAGAAAAAGACCAACTTACCATTTTATTTCTTTTCTCCACCCCCACCCCCACCCAAAAAAAAGTAGAAGAAAAAAATGTCTTTTTTTTTTCCTTTGGTATAATCATTCGGTCTGCGATGGTCCAACTAATTTGAATTCGTGCCGCATAGGGGCCATTTAAAAGGGAAGCGCTTCTTATTTTTCCGACGACAAGGGTCGTCGTTTCGTACAAGGTCTGGATATCCCATGGGATTAGCTATCCCACCTTCTACATGGGATAACAAATCCCACCATTTTTTTAGTGTAAAAGTTGTCCCGACTCCCGGGATTAGCTAATACTCCAAACCAAACATGAGATAAAGTTGATTTCAAATTCTATCCCGCGATTATTATTCTTATCCCATGTACCAAATGACCCCTTAGTGATGAAGAAAAACATGTCATGTACAACTATGGGTTGAACAAGTAGTACTGTATCACTCAAGAAGAGTTGAAGCTAGACTCTTGTGTTGTTTTCGGAACAAGTAGTAATATAATCCCATGTTACTTGCAATTGAGGCATAATTCGTTGCTTTCAACGAACGAGTAAGCCCAATCTAGAGCGTTTATATTGTCACATACACTTAGTTTATTAAAGATTCATCAATTTCCTTGTTACTAATGTTTTCACTTGCTGATGGCATGGGCGATCAGACAATGCAAATTACGGCATTGTGTATCTTCAAATTGTTTTGAATGGATGATGTCTTTGTTTAGGTCTGCTGCCTTTTATTTGCCATGTTCAGTTGGTGTATTCTGTGATTTTAGAAACTAGTTCAAACTAGGTCTCATATAGTTGCGTGCAGTAACATTACCCGGAATGAATTTAGTGGGCAAACAGATTCTTGAAATCACTGGTTATTTACCTCTTGTCTTTGTTGAAGGCACTCAAGAGGAAGCAGCTGCAGCATATGATTTGGCAGCAATTGAGTTCAGAGGGCCTAATGCAGTCACCAACTTCGACATCAGCACATACGCAGACAAGTTGAAAAAATTCCGCGAACCAGAGCTGGTACCAAAGGAGGAAAAAACAGAATCATCTGCTGAAGTGCAATCAAATGAGGTGTCAGAACAACAACAGCCAGTTCAACAACAAGAAGAAAACCAACAGAAGTTTCACCAAGAAGAGCAAGAAGAATTAGCAGTGGAACCAATAGTAGTACCAAAGTTAGAGTTCACGCCTTCGCTTGATTCTGATGAAGTGACTCAACCAAAAGTTCTGAAGTTGGAGTTTGCTCCTTCAGTTGAGTCTGCTGATAAAATAAAGGCGAAGGATCACGAGGAGGAAGATGACAACCCGTGGAACATGTACTTGGATGATACATTTGATTCCTTCCCGGTTTCCGACTTCTCTCTTGACAAACCATCCGACTTGATGGATTTTTTCAACGATACCGGCTTTGACAACAACATTGACTTCAATTTCTATGAGCAATCAAGTGAGAATGAGTTCAACCTGGATGTATTCTCCGACAGCATGATCATCGACATGATTGAAGCTAAGGAGGAAGCAATGATGAATCCATCGAATTCGCCTACTTCATCCTCATCCGTGTCAAGAACCACATCCATTTCTAGCGACACGAAAGATGTTGGAGGTTTGGACTAAAGGTTCAGTTTTGTGTCGAAATGAAACTTAAGTTTGATAGGAAACCTTCCTCCTAGCTAGTTTTAGATGCCCTTTTCCTTTCCTAGATATAGGGACACAAGCAGAAGGCCTTGTGACTGTGTTTTAATTAGTTTCTTCTCCAAAACGAACTACTGCAGTTTAGCTATAATGTTGCTTAACAAGTTTTTGAAGGGTGAATCTATGTTCCCTTTTTTGGTTTCATTTGCCTGTTGATATCCCCCAACCCCTTACTCATATTGCATCTTTAATATTAGGCGACCCGGTGCACTAAGATACCGCTATGCGCAGATTCGGGAACAAGGGTCTATTGTACGCAATTTTAGCCTTTATCTTGTTTTCACGGTTCGAACCCGTGATCTCCTGATCACATGGCAGCATCTTTATCGGTTACGCTAGGGCTCCCCGACTGGTCGAACAGAGACGAAAGTAACATTTAAATAAACATGTAAAATGAGTGCATCAAATTAGAACTAGAAGGAAATTTTATTGCAATCTTCTAATTTTACAAATGTTCTTAGTCATATGACACTCCTATACAGCATATGCAATCGATAAATAAAACGCAAGAAATGTTTGTAGGATCAATGAGAAAAATGTTGCAAAATATGATATACTAGTAAACAAATTTTCGGAATCAGGTGAGTCAGAGGTCAGGAGCTCAATCAAAACTATTTACACTTCCCTCTTAGCATGTAGACCAGGATGACCGAAGATCGAAGCCTGGCAATAACAATGAAGGAATTTGAGCGCTGAAACTCAAAATATAAAACAACAAGGCGATTATCAATTAAAAAGTGACGGAAAAGGTAATAAAGCAGTACAAAAAAAAGAGACTAAATATGATTTTAAAAACTGAACAAATGGTGCAGTTAAAAAGAAACATAAAATAAAAGGTAAAATGAGATTATTAAATAGTACTAAGGGCAAACGGAAAAAGATATTTAATGTAACAATAAAGTGTTGGAGTAAGGGATTTAATAATACAATTCAATAAATTTTAAGTAATTTTACAAATATATTGTATTCTAAAATAACGTATATATTTTCTTTTCAAAATAAATGACATGGCATGTAGATGTTGGCAAAATGATGACATGTTATTATTCGATGCCGAAAACTTAGCTTTTTGATAGCTTTATTTTTTTGGACAACTAACAAATAGTTTAATAATTTATTATTATAAAAAATAATATTGTAAGTTTAATATTACAGAGAGTAAAGTTAAGCAATTAAATTTAAAATTATGTACGAGACTTGAGGACTGAGGTCTTCAAAGCTTTACCGGAGTTGCATTACATTTGACAAAATTAAACTGAAAACTACCAAAAACAGAAAAAAGAATTACAACAGTGGAAAGAGAGCAGAGAAATTTCTTCATTTCAACAAACCCAGCACACCCGCGCGCGCGACCAGAGAGAGAGAGAGAGGGAGAGAGAGAGAGCTAGTAATATCAGTAACATTATAGCCTAACCAAGAATCTTTGAAGTACTACCATCAAGTTTTGCTGAAAGATACATACAATTAGGCGCGAATTTCAGGTTTATACATTTTGGGTAAGATTTAGCCCTTAATTTGTATTCACTTCTAGTCCTTTACCCTAATTGCATTGTTTTTACTCCCGTTGGCATAATCACCCCATATGTCCGGGCTTTGTTTATTACAATTTTCGTAACAAGTATTGTTCTTGAGGTACTATACTGTTATGAACTGGGTGCTATTGCTTTTGGAGATTTAAAATCCTTTCTAGGAGATGTTATATATATATATATATATATATATATATATATATATATATATATATATATATACATATTATTATTTGTTCTTGTCTTTGTCCTAAACATTATTGATATTTATTTTCATTTGAAGTTTAGAGGAAGGTGTATTCTCATGTGTGCAAAATTGGAGTGTTTGCTTATTCTTTTATGTTAATATAAAATATTGAGTCACTGGTTATCTTGTTCCATTCATGTGATGTTAAGGCCACCTTTTGCTCATTTTCTTTTTACAAGAGATGAAAAGAAGACGTTTTGACCACGAAGAAATAGATTGATCTGTCAATGTCAGTCCCCCAGTAAGATGAATATTGAAGGGATTGATGTAGAAGGGCAGAAGAGGCAAAAAACTGGGGAAATAGCTGCTGAACTAATTCACAATTCCAAACAGGGTTTGCCGGAGAATTTTACTGAAAGAGATTCTATCGTTGAAGTTGATGATGGGGAAGAGAAGCCATATGTGGGGATGGAGTTTCAAACAGAAGAAGCAGCAAAGAACTTTTTTGATGCATATGCTAGGCGTGTGGGCTTTAGCGTACATGTTGGACAGTACAGCCGAGCTAAGCCTGACGGCCCTATCATTAGTTGGGACTATTCTTGTTCAAGAGAAGTTGTTAGAAGGAAGAATATAGAGAGTTGCAACGCTATGCTTCGCATAGAGAGAAAAAATTCAGATAGTTGGGTTGTGACTAAATTTGTTGAGGATCACAATCATTCAATAGTGAATCCCAGCAAGGTGCATTACCTTCGGCCTCGTAAACATTTTTCTGGTGCTTCCAAGACTGTTGGAGAGACACCGGGGGCTCCAACTGTTGTTATGGTTCCGGTGGACGGAAATCATGTATCTGTCAGTTCTAATGAAGGTGTTAAGGATGCTTCTCCTGTGGAGTCAAATCGTGTGACCAAGAACTTTAGCCCTGTCATACCAATAATGTTTATCCAGCCTTGCAGCCGAAAGAGAACACTTGGAAGAGATGCCCATAATCTTCTTGACTATTTCAAAAAAATGCAAGCGGAAAACCCTGGTTTCTACTATGCTATTCAACTTGATGATGAAAATCGCATGACGAATGCTTTTTGGGCTGATGCAAGATCGAGGATAGCTTATAGTCACTTTGGCGATGCTGTTATTTTTGATACAATGTATAGACCAAATCAATTCCAGGTTCCATTTGCTCCATTCACAGGCGTAAATCATCATGGACAAATTGTTTTGCTTGGCTGTGCATTACTCTTAGATGAGTCCGAGTCTTCCTTTACTTGGCTTTTCCGGACCTGGCTATCTGCAATGAATAATCGCCCTCCAGTTTCTATTACAACCGACCAGGATAGAGCTATTAAGGCAGCAGTCAACCAAGTATTACCGGGTACTCGTCATTGCATCTGTAAGTGGCATATCTTACGAGAAGGGCAGGAAAGATTGGCTCACTTATATATGGCTCATCCTTCTTTTTATGGGGAGCTGTATAGCTGCATTAACTATTCTGAGACTATTGAGGATTTCGAATTATCTTGGGCCTCTATACTTGATAGGTATGATCTCAGGAAAAATGAGTGGCTTCAAGCTGTATATAATGCTCGCAACCAGTGGGCTCCAGTATATTTTCGAGATACTTTCTTTGCTGCACTTCCCTCGAACCAGGGTGTAACCTCCTTTTTTGATGGATATGTGAATCAACAGACAACTCTACCAATGTTCTTTAAGCAGTATGAAAGAGCTTTAGAAAGTTCACTTGAAAGGGAAATTCAATCAGATTTTGATACAAATTGCACCACACCAATGCTAAAGACCCCATCTCCAATGGAACAACAAGCATCTAACCTCTACACCAAAAAAGTTTTTGCAAAGTTTCAAGAGGAACTAGTCGAAACTTTTGCCTACACTGCTAATAAGATTGATGGTGATGAGAGACTAAGCAAATTTAGGGTCGCAAAATATGAACAGGATGACAAAGCATACATTGTAATGTTGAATCTTGCCGAGATGAAAGCGAGTTGCAGCTGCCATATGTTTGAGTATTCGGGCATCTTGTGTAGGCACATCTTAACCGTCTTCACAGTGACTAATGTTCTTACAGTTCCGTCCCATTATATACTTAGGAGGTGGACAAGGAATGCAAAAGTTGGACAAGGATCAGAAGAAGACATTGTTAAACAAGGAATTAATTCTCTCTCTTCACGTTTCAACCACTTATGTCTGGAAGCTTTAAGATATGCAGAAGAAGGGGCAGTTTCTGTGGAGACCTATGATGCAGCGATTAGTGCTTTAAGAGACGGGTTGAGTAAGATTTCTATTGTTGCGAAAAATATTGTAAGACCCCCTAGCTCACAGGGAAGTGGAAGCACTCAGGATGAGAGCATAAAAAGAACTCTGGCTACTTCTGATACCGCACCATCTTTATGGCCTTGGAAAGATACAATGCCTCATCATTTTAACCTTAATGATGTCAGTTTACCTGCTGGTGACTTAAATCAGCCCACTATGACACCTGTGGCTATAAATCGTGATGGTGGCCTTGCTGATAATGTGGTATGAGAAGAAAGAAATACCTCTTTTGTAACTTGTATATACATTTCTCAATTTTTTATCTGTCTTTGACTATTTTGGACAAGAAAAGAATGAACTACTCAACTGCCACGGAGATGAATTATTGCCTTTTCTCTCCTTCACGTGTTTTGTTTCATGTAGGTTGTTTATACTTGTTTTAAGTCTATGACATGGGTGATTGAAAACACAACTCCAGCAAGTAAAGTGGCTGTCATCAATTTGAAGGTGTGTACTCTGTTTTAGAAAAGATTTTACTCTGAGTCATACTCTAGCTGAATACAGATAACGGATATACAGTTGATTTGATTTTTTCTTCCTCCCTTGAGAAATAAATTTGATCCTCTTAATGTCTAAAATCGGTGGAAATAATAATTTCCTTTGTGAAATTTTATTTGGACATATTTGATACGACTTTCAGTTGCAAGATTATGGCAAGAGCCCAGCAGGGGAAACAGAAGTTCAGTTTAGAGTTACAAGAGTCACTCTGGAGCCAATGCTGAAATCCATGGGTTACATAAGTCAACAGCTTTCACTGCCGGCAAATAGAGTAGCTGTTATCAATTTAAAGGTTTGCATCATGAATTTCAAGATTTTATTCCTATCTCAGAATCTCATTGAAAGAGCTGGGAGCTGTTGAACTGTTGCTTTTCTGCTTCACATATTCTTAATTATATTACTTCAAGTTTGTCAGAATTGGAGCAAAGTAAACTCATTCAGTATGCGCATTTTGATTAGTTACATTGGGAGGCATTCTAAAGACTATCTTAATATTAATATTAGATATTCAAATGAGCTTTATATTAAGCTTTAACGTGCTTTTCATCTAGTGAATGAGCTTTATTAGATATCACTATGGCGACAGTTCTGAAAAATTTCTTTAGTAGATGGATATGTAATTTTTCTATCAAGGGAAAGAGTGTTTCTTTCTTTTGATGTTTTGACAATTTTACCACCTGGCACCTGCCTACTCGACATACAAGTGAATATGCCTAAATTATGTGAAACAAATATTGGCCTCTGTCCCTTCCCTCTTCCTCCCTTTCATCTTCTGGATGCAGTATCCCTCTGGTGTATAATTATCTCTTAATTATTCGGGTGGAAATCCACCAATAGCTTGGCCATGTATGCTAATGAAATGCTCTGCTGGGCTTCGCTATTTAGTTGTCCTTGATATGGCTCTCCAAAGTAACATTCATGACGACTGAAAAACTAATTATGAAGAAATAATAGATGCTTGTGAAATATTAGTTAGAAAAGGTGTTCCTCTTAATTATCTACCAGCCTTGAATCGCATTTCTCCCTGTAGATTGAGAGGATTAATGTCAGTTGAATGCAGTGATGTATTATCCTTTAATATATGGACTGATAGTTTTTATCATTTCCCATCACAGCTTCAAGATACTAAGACACCTTCCGGAGAAACTGAAGTGAAATTTCAAGTTTCAACGGATACTCTAGGATCAATGCTGAGATCAATGGCTTACATTCGTGAACAACTTTGAGTAGGTGAATACTACTTCTCTTGTTATTCTTGTCCATATATAAGAACTAGAAGCATCAATTGATTTATTTGAGATTCTGAAAGAGAAATTGAATAAATTGCAAGCGTCACCTGGATAGTATTATATATTTTGCGGAAAAGGTCCAAATACCGCCCTGAACTTTACGATAAGGTCTACAAATAACACTCGTTAGAAGTTTGGCCCATTACCCACCTTGCCTTTACACTCTTGGCTCGGATACCCCCTTAATTTTAAACGGCTGCCACATGGATAAGTTATCTACTCATAATTTGACATGTGGAATTTTGATTTACACCCAACCGGATTTAATTAGCCTACCTGTTACCCGTAACCCGACCCGCAAATTGAACCTTTTCCGTAAATTAAATTGCCACTACAAAAAGATTTATAGCAATAACCGTGAAAATTAAAAGGAGCATAAAGAATTCACCTTGAAAATAAAGTGCCACAATCACATTTATACTCTCTAGTACCACAAATCTTAGAATGAGCCTTTAAATCAGACTGAACTGCATATTTCTTAGAACACTTATCACATTTCCACTTCTTCTCACCATGTTTACGGCAGAAATGTTTCTTAATTCCGGTCAAATCACCCAATGCCCGTGAAGGATCGTGGTGAACACAAGTGGTTTCAGGGCAAACATATACTCTCTTCTTCACCTCTTGCTCTGATCTCTGCCTTAGCTTCCATGGCAAATTATGACCCCTTCTATGCAACTGCAAATCTTGAAACCCTTTACTGCAAATTTCACAAACAAATCTGTTGTCGCCAGTAGAGTTTTAGGTGACAAAGCAATAACCTCTGCATCGGGATCTAATCAAAACAAGAACAAAACATGAGGCCTAAAAATCAAATCTTTACTGAAATTTGTAATTAGGGTTCGTCAAAAATTGTAGTTAAATTAAATTTTACCTTACCACAACAGCATTTCCTCCTCGAACCATATGGTGAACTCGAAGATCCTTGTTGAGATTGAGAAGAAGAGCTATCCCTAGTTGATAAGTGAAGTAAAATTTGTGTGTATTTAAGAAAGGGGTTTCCAATTTACGGGTCGGGTCACGGGTAACGGGTAGGCTAATTAAATCCGATTGGGTGTGAATTAAAATATTTGGGCGTAAATTAAAATTCCACATGTCAATTATGAGTGGATAACTTATCCACTGTGGCAGCCGTTTAAAATTAAGGGGGTATCCGACCAAGAGTGTAACGGCAAGGTGGGTAATGGGCCAAACTTCTAACGAGGGTTATTTGTAGACCTTATCGTAAAGTTCAGGAGGGGTATTTGGACCTTTTCCGTATATTTTGTGTTGATATATAAATTTGCATACATCAACCTTTAATGATTCAATACCTCTGGTTTAAATTCCTAAGCTTACTCAGTTCCTGATGTTTATCTATGGAGGTATTGTCTGCAGCAGAATTGGTAAAGGTACGTGGATTCATGTGAGTCAAACAAGAATAAGTAATGCACCTTCGATCTGAATCGCTCTGATGAAGCAGTAGCATTCTTTAGAACGATATGCACAAGATCTTTTTGAACTTGATAATTGGTATAATAATTTGATGGAAAGAACCTGGCATTAAAGCTGTATACAAGAGGAGAGAAATTTATACAAAAACATGACTCTTTGCAAAGAGCATTCAATCATCAATATGGACTGGAAAGTTGCACGTGCTCCAAAAGTGTCAAGAAAACAAAGAGTTCATAAAAAGGGCAGACCGGTGCACTAAGCTCCCGCTATGCGCGGGGTCCGGGGAAGGGCCGGACCACGTTCTGTTGCACGCAGTCTTGCCCTGCATTTTTGCAAGATGTTGTTTCCATGGCTCGAACCGGTGACCTCCTGGTCACATGACAGCAACATTACTAGTTACACCAAGAAAAAAAAGAGTTCATACCTTATCCGAAAACATAAGAGTTCACACTCATCCAAACGCAGTTTCTTTATCCTTTGATAGAATCAGGTTTATGGTAAGTCAGAGAAGAAAACCATTCAAAAGATCAAATTGGAGATATTTGAAGATTGCTCGACTTCTTTTCCTTCATCTATGTTGTTAGTTGCTTATCATCATATAAGTAGTTGTTGTTGTTGATGATGATGATGGATGACAATAACGAGTTTTTTGCCATATATTATGTAGGAACTCCTTGTAAATTGCTTGTGGAGGCAGAGAGCACATATTCACAGCTGTAGTTATCTCTAGTAACCACTCTGTTTGCTCTATATTCTGGCAGCACTTAGTCCAAGTATAACTATGAAGTTGACCCAACTTACTTTGTAGTTGTATGCTGGAAAATTAGTTGTGCATGTGTATGGAGGACCCTGCAAAGAATGTAGTCATTTTAGCTTTAGGTTAGTAGTAGTTGTTTCATTGATAACACCTGTCAATATTTCTTTTTTTGGTGTAGGTATAGGTGTAATCTGTTATTTGTATTCCGGTGTAATCTGCCTGTGCTAATATTACTCCCATGTATGAGGGATCTCTTGTTTTCTTCATTTTCTTTTCTTTTCGTGTTTTTCGTTCCTTTTTTTCTCTTTAATGTTTTGTCGAAGAGAAGAGGCTGAAATACGTAAATAAGCAGGTTGAGTCTGGTAAATGAAAGTTTTGGCACCAATTTCATGCAATTTATTATTCTGTTGTCATTGTATTTAATATGGTAGTGTCCATGGTTGAAGGATTGAGTTTATTTGTCTCGAATTCCCTCTTTTCTATGTGTATGTACCTTTAGTCCCTCTATTTTGAGTTGCAGAACGTAAAATCCCCAACTAGTAATCATGAGTCCTAATTGCAATTATAGGTCCTAATATTTTATTTTTATTACTGCTAAGTGGTATGATGTCTCTCTCCTGTGTCTGATGTCCATCTGTCTACTTTGATCGGGGAACTTGCAAGTTGCAGGTCGTGGATATTACATTAACGTCATACTTTTTTAAGACAAATCTTTCCATCTACTCAATCACTCTCTTATCTCTCCCTTTCCCAAGACTAAGTTTTCCATCTAATCAACCCCCCCCCCCCCCCCTACAATGCCTCTTTCTTGAACCCATCAGACATCTCTCCCCTTTCCAACTTTGGTCTTATCAGTGCACTAACTGACGAATTTATTAAGTCTGCATTTAAGCTTAAATTGATACGTGAAAGAGCAATTTCTCAAGTTTGCATCTAAGCTTAAATTGGCATGTGAAAAAGGAATTTCTCCCTTGTATTTTCCCCTCTTCTCCATCTTGTTTCAGCAAACAAGAGCAATTCTCAAGGGAACAAAATTCATACTCTCTTAAAGTTAAATCTTTTATATCTTCTATCCAAGGAAGCAAATTATTTTGAGCAGATTTTTCCCTTTTCATCCCAACACAAAGTTAAATCTTTTTATTTTTCTATTTTTTGTCAAAATTACCAAAAAAGAAAGTATTCAAAAAGCCTCTCTCACTCCACACTCTAAACAAATCATCAGTTTTTCACCATTGCAACCGGTTTTAGATATATCTTGCCACGTTTTATGTCATATGCTTTAAAACTTTTTCAAAGTCAGATGACAACTAGTAAGAAAAGAAGATCTGAGCCATCAGGAAAGAATTCCCAAGATGCTATGACTGATCCAGTAGAGCCATCTCAAATCATTAAGCAGTCCAAAGGCAGATGAAAATTTTATTCGCTCTCTGCCGGAAAAATTGAAGCAGTAAGGTCATCAACTAGAGCTATCAAAACGGACCAGCCCAGCCTAGCCTAGCCCAACCCTCGTGGGCTTTTAAAATTTTATGGGTTAGGACGGGCCGGCCCGCCATATGGGCCTTAAAATGGCCAGCCCAACCCATCCCTAAGAGGGTCGCGGGCTAGCCCTTCAATTTTTTTTTAGAAAAAAAAATTTATTTAAATCCTTAAATATTTTTTCGTGACATAGTCGATTAATCATGTAAACAACTTCTGTTTGCGTATAGCATACAAAAAGCTTGATATTTGAGAGGAATCTTGTAATTGAAATGCAAATTCTCTATATCTCTAACTATTGTTACATGAATATTTTCTTAATACTTTTCTTTTATTTTCCTCAGATTCAGGGATTGCTTCAATAAGTTTATATGCTGAGGTTTTTTTAATTCACGATTAACATCGTTTGCTGATTTCATCATTATAGTCCATAAAATTTTTAAAATTCCTGAAATTTGCTAGTGGTCAATTTGTTTTGTGTGTGTAATTAAAATTGATCTTTTTCTATACTGAAGAGTAGTTTAAATATTAATAGTATATTAAAGTAATCCAAACTAATCATTGGCCACTTAAAGTAATATTTTCTTTTGAAAAAAGATTATTATTGGCCACCTAAAACTTTTCGTGTTCATTATTAATTAAGCAAAATAAAAACTAATTTTGTCATATTACATGCATGTCAAAAACATAAATTCTAGTTGATATGGAAGGTAAATGAGCAATCTAGGGTTGGGGAATGTGGATTATAGTTAATAGTTTTTTTAGTTTTTATTTTTTTAAATATTAAATATTTGATAGTTAATTAATTTTTGGACCACGGGCTGGCCCAAGCCCAGCCTCGGTCAAGACTAAAGGGCCGACGGGCCGATTTGAATCGGGCTTGTAAGCCTCAGTTTTAAATGGGCTCAAAAAATCCTAGCCCAACCCTACCCAAGAAGCGGGTTGGGTTGGGCTGGCCTCACGGGCCAAGCCCATTTTGACGGCTCTAGTTGAACCTTTAGACCTGCGGTCTAAATATGATATTAGACATAAGTTTAAAATTAGGTGATCATTTTTGAACTTCGGACTATTAAACTAGTTTTAATAAAGTGGCCAACTCTTAAATAGAAATGTACACCACTTGCTACTATCTATCTATATATAATACTAGCTGACTCTTGCCCGTGCAAAGCACGAGCCCAATAATTTCTGTTAGCCTTTAGTTGCATCCAACGAAGACATATTGAAATCTAAGTCTAAACAGCAGTAAATGTTTCAGAACAACCGTAATACCACACACATAAGCACAATTCTAATTTTTAGAGTATGACATAGAAGACTACATATTACATCCGAGTATATAATACAATTTTCACAATCTATGAATTTAAGAATAATGAATTTTGCTCCCATTTTCAAATCACATTCCCTAAGATAACCGTACAAATGACATTTGTGTCGGCTTGTTCATACGCGCCTTCTCCAAAAGAGTGCCATTTTCATATTACTCCAACAAAATAGGATTGAGACATGCGCCAGCGTGTTAAATTTTAACACATCTACCTGAGATGTATAAGTGAGTCGTGTAAATAACAATAAATCCTTGAAGAGAAAGCCTAGTAATATACAGGCACAGAAGTGAAGCACGGTCTCATCACTAAATAGCCAATTTAACATATAGAAACAAAAGAAGCAATTTCATAACATGTGAGTTCAAGCATAGAAAAATTTGCTCCCTTCTAACTATTCCTTGCATGCTTGTTTATCCCGACTATCCCGGAGAAGCTACATCCTGAAGTCATTCTACAATAATTTAAGGATGAGACATATCATATCAAAAGTGGAAACTTGAGAAAACCTGCTGGAGTTGATCCAAAAACCCACTGACCATGAGTCCTGGATTTCTGACACAGCTAAAAGTTGTTACCTGTAGATACGACTTGATTTTCCATTTCAGTTATGCCTACCTCTCTGTTTCTCTGCCATGTAACACAGAATGTAAGTAATAATAGCGCGGCATTCAAATCAAACATATACCAAAAAAGTATATATAAGCCCTTAGATTCTTTTGCAGTACGTCAATAGATATCCATCGTCTCTTTAACAATGCATATCAGAACCCCAAGGAGCAGATAGTAACACAAACAGTACATTTGAAAGTCCGTCTAACTTAAGGACATAATCAAGACCAGCAGGTTCTTTTGAGTTAACGGCTCACAGGGCTCGTATGAACAAATACAAAAGGTTTTTTACCACTAATGGTCAAAGCATTTGCATCTGGTACAAGACTTTGGCAAGCATAACTCAGGAGCTTTAATATGGAATATTTTAGCGCCCTCAACTATGAGGAGCTAAAAAATGTTGAATCAGTTATAGATTAGAGAACAATCGTCACCTTCTAATCTTTAATGCAAATTACATTCTAAAATAGTAGCAAGTCCATGTACTAATAAACATAAGATGCTAGTCCCAATGAGTAATGCAAGCTCAAGTAGAACTCAAAGTAACCGAGAGCGATAATGCAAAATGGCAAATCCCCTTAGAAATACATCTGGAAGAACAAATTCTCTTCCTTCCAAATGCATATCTAATACTATTTTTTCTTTTAAAAAGGGAATTAGAGATACATATGAGGGAAGAGCATTGTAATCCTCAAGGCTATACTATTCATTTATCTAGGAAGTATGAAGAAGCCGAACTATCAAAAGCTTTATAACAAACCAAATACCAGCATATGAGCAACCAAAGGAAAAAAAAAAAAAGGAATAGTCTCTTGAATAAACATAACTTGGCATGTTAATCAGTATATAAAAAGATGGAGACACAAGTCATTTAAACGATAATAGAACCAACATGGTGCCTAGATTTTCTGTCAACGATTTATTATCGTCTATAAAAGCAGTCATATCAACTCTTATTTCATAGGACCTGGTGTTGGAAGTTTGATAGAAAACAAAGCCATCATGTACATGAAAAGGATGCAGCAAATTTAAGGAGAGATCAAAAGTTCACATTAGGAAGTTAATAAAAATGGCGTTCAATTTGGGCAAGAGACGAAGTATATCTAAGTATTTGATGAGAACTCCCCTCATGAATACATTACAATGTAAAAAGATTTAATAACTTACAAATTTCAATCAGGCTCTATGTAAAAACCATCAAGTAGACTTTAATAAGAAAGTTCAAGTAGACTTTATAAAGAAGTTCAAGTAGCAGTTCTCTGTAATTCCTTCAACCTGTTAGCTCCCATCCGAGCTCGCGTCTTTTTGAGATCTGAACAACCGAGAACTTCTTGTTGCGTTAGCTGGAGTTTGATTTGTCTTCTCTCTTCCTCCAAAAGACATATCAACTGCAACAAACTTTTGATGGGATAGTTGGTAGGTCCTGCCAAATATACAACATAATATGGTCAAAAATCTGGTGTAGTAGGTAAGTAAAGATGCTAATAGTCAATCCAGTAGAAGTTGCATGCAAATTTTTACCGGTGGCGCACATGAGATTAAAATTTATCATTTTGATTAAAAGTTCATCTAACTGATAGGTCGCATTTCAGTTTTCGCGCTCTTTAATAATCCTATCCAATCAAATATAGTTAATTTTTCAAAATTATTTTTACAATAACAATCATCGAAATAAGAATTGTTTCCAGAAACATTCTTACAAAACATTTCCACAAACTTCTTCCAGAATTATTTTCGAAAAACTCTTCAAACACCGAATATAGAAAGCAGTATCTTTTCCCATTGCAAATCTATAAGATCCTACGAATAAAGTAAGAATATCAAGTTCTAACAGCACTCTCTTGGATTCATTACAGATATTTAATTATTTTTCATATGTTTAAAGGAAATCACAGTTAAAAGAGAACCTTAAAACTATTGTCTCGTATCCATCAAGCAATTAATATTACACAAAAGTAGTTATCAGTTATGTTAGAGTCTACTGTCCACACCATCAAATATAGGAAGTAGCAGCTAGCATCATTCACTCATATTAAAGGAGATGCAAAATTCAATACATCTAAGGTGCAAGCTGATGGGAATAAATTCTTTCTTTCTTCTTCTTCTTCTTCTTCCGTTAAGTTGTAAAATGATTAAATAATAAAGCCACCTATTCATCACCTTAATGATCTTAAAACCTCAGGCTCTGCATACTATTCAAGGGGTAATACCTTAATACTCCCATTCAATAACTTTCGAAAGTACTTACATTCTGCAGGAACAATCTGAGGATTTTCTCTATTTGAATAGGAAACTGGAAGATAACAATCAAAATCTAGAAGTGTATCGGACAACCTACAACGAAAAACCAAAGAACAAAGCATAACCTTAGAAACGAATAAAACCCTATATTAGAGAATTAACAGTAAGAGAGAGAAAAGAATATTTCACAAGATCTGGCTAGAAAGATGAATAGCTAACCTGGAGATTGTATCAATCTGAGTAGAAGGATAAGAACAAAAAGTATAGAATTGGGGAAAGTATCTAAAGCAAATAAAAATGTAGAACCCCGTGCAGTGGAATTAAACTATGCAGTGGCTGTAGGAGTGGAGGCCACGTTGAATTAGCTAACCCTGATATGCTACATCAACTATATTAGATGACCAAAATGCTATTTGAATCTTAGTGCCAAAAAACGAACAGGTCGAACGGAATAAAGTAGTTGAAGCACAATAATCTGGCAGGCTTCTTCTCAGTGACTCGACAATAAGACATTGCTCTCCAGTTGAGCCTTGTCACAAATGTTGTCTTCTAAACTACCCAAAAATATTTGAAACGACAAACCAAGCCAGCTCTTTGTAGTTCAACAACTAACCTCAATTACATGGAGAATCATTGACAGTCACAAAACTATCTGTCTCATAATAGCGACACACAATATAGTTCTAAATGGTGGTATACAAACACATATATTAAAAAGAAAATGAGAAGTATTATTTTCTTCAAAGGTGTGCATTAGTAATAAGAAGGTATATTGCACTGCTTTTCTACAATCTATTTAAATTAAAAGAAATTGTCAGTCTCACAAATAAGAGGTGAAAGTCACAAAGGATTATTAGGTAGATTCTTTTTTTCCACAACTGTTTGCGTACAAGTAAATTCGCAATAGCTTAAAATAATAAAAGTCAAAGATCCATTCATACTGGTTGTAAAAACTTGGTACATGCCTTAGAAGTCAATTTCAAGGAAATGATAGGCATGCATGATATTCTCACCCTGATATTCTTCTTTCCTAAAAAGCAATAAGAGATTCTATTTAATGCTCTTGGCAAATCTTCATAATAATACCAGTTTAAAATAATATGTCACAAATGTGGCAAGAAAAAAGGTAAAAAAATTTGTTACCCATATCATAAATTTATCATATCAGAAGAGACCACCAACCCAGAAACTGTAATCCATGATTCACTCAGCACCCAAAAATTCACAATAACATCCAAATTGTTTGCTGAATAGTTAAACTAATTAAGTAATGCAAAAAGTTTTCAATGAAAACTTCCTCAGTTATGTTTCTTGAAGAAAACATCAATTTTGATGAGGTAAAATTCAAACTTACATGTAACTGCAAATACTTCATTATCAAATGACCGTGTGAATGCATACAATCAGAGTTTCCAACCGAGACTTAAAGTAAGCTCCATCGGAGTTCTCAACTAACACTTGGAGTAAGCTCCATCAGAAAATCTGTAAGATTGAAAGCAAAACATTCCGAGGTTGGTGTATCTTGTTGAGCATGGAGATGCATTACGAATTCAAATTTCTTTCTTATGGTGTGAAAAAAAAGGAGATGAAGCAACATTGACTCCTCTCTCTACCTAGACGATTACTCTTTGGTCAAAGAGTACTGAAGTAACATCAACTAAAATACACTAATTTCAAAAGAACTAATGTGATCATAAGAAGCAGAATATTTCAAAAACATGCTCATCTACAATTACAAAATTTGGATCAGTCGATAAAAGCTTTTATTAAAGATAGTAACAGAGAAAAGTACATGGAAGAATTGGAGGAAGATGGTGGAAACAGAAAATTACCTTTCTAATCAATAGAAACGAAAAAATAAAATTAAAAAGAAGTCAAAAGCAAATGAAATTACTACTATAATCTTTTTGTTCATCGTTTCTACCCCAATCTCCCAACTACATTTTACGCATAGCAAACCTTCCGAAACTCTACCTCTTTCTCTATTAAAGACATCAGCCACGAATTCCAGCAATGAAATTTGGAAGACTGAAGAGAAATTAGAAGTGGGCAAAAATTGAGACAGCTCATACCTGAAATTAGAACAGCCCAGCCGAGAAGATGTAAAGAACTGGAAAAAAGAAGTAATCATTGAAAATCAGAAGAAAAATAAAGAGATTATGCAAAAGGAACATTTTAATAATGAAAGAGAGAAACAAAAGCAAGGAGATGAATAGATGAACAAGAACATAGTAGAAAAACAAAAATGAATTTTAGCCATGAAATTGAAAATTTTGAAAAGAACTGGGAGAAGACTAAAGCAAAAATTGAGAGAAAAGATTACCTGAACTTGAAAGACCATGAAGAAAAATCAAATGAAACAACCAAGGGTTTCTTATTCTCATAAGAGAAATTCTTCTAGAATTGTGTCTGTATTTGCTGAACCACATATTATTACTTTGGGGAACTAAAAATAAGAGATTTGCTCTTGATCAACCAATAGAAATAGAAATAGAAAAAATAAAATCAAATGGCAAGGTAAAATGGTAATTTTGCCCCCTTGGTCGATCAACTTCTCTTTTCTATATAACAGAAAAAAGGAGAGGCAAAAGCATATTATTAAGATAAGTAGCATAATCACAAAAAGCCAAGTGGCACTGTAAAGACAAAATAAACTATCTTTTTAACTAAAAAAACCTTTTTAAATTTTGAATTAGTTAGTTATTCTATTTGAATTAATAAATATAGATATCTTATAATTAACTATATTCAAAAAAAAAAAAAATAACTACCTATTCAATTTGGGGAGTAGTTTCAAGTTGAAGTTTTAAAGTTATTTTAAAATAAAAAAATGAAAATCTATCTTCTATCTATTTATATATAATAGGAGAGGCAAAGAAATATTATGATGACAAGTGGCGTAATATTAAAGTGACATGTGTAGAATTTTTGGATAATTCTCCAATTTTGTTGGAGTTTCAAACCCATTTAAGAAAAACGTAAAGGACAGTTTTTTTTTTTCATAATTCAAAATTTGAGACAGTTTTATTTTTTAGAATTCAAATTTCAAAAAAATTTACTTTTAAAAAAATAACTGATTTTACATGGCACTATTAAAGGACACGTTTTGTTCTCTTTAAAAAAGAAAAATAATTTTAAAGCACCCACTTAATGAGTAAAAATTAAAGCACACTTTAAAAGGGCCTTTCTGCCTTCAGTTATCCGTCTACTTTCCCTAAGAAAGCCAAAAAACTTCCCCTTCTTCCCATGCATCTTCTTAACTACACCTCTTTTATATCATCTTTGTCACACACAATTTCACGTACAATCAATAGTTCCAAAAACAATACCTTAGAATCAAATACAATACATAGCATCATTGAAAGACGGATCGGATAAGTAGAGCAGAGAAAGAGTTAGTAAAGGTTGTTCGTTATATTAATTGTAATGGAGTCCCTTTTGTTAAAGGACACAATTCATGACAGGAGGAAAAAATGAGGTATTGGAGGCATGATGATGCACATGGAAGACATGAAAGAATAATATATTTGGTAAATAATATTACGACTTACCTTTTTACTTTTTTTTCACGTTAAAGAACAGATTTATTGTGTATAGATAAATTTTGTGATATTCTAATCTACATATATATTAAAGCAAGAAAGTTACCATATATAATTGACATTATGGTTAAGCCAAGTGGCAAGCTAATAAATGTCAATAGCATATGGTAACTTTATTCTATATTTGACTATTTTAGTTAAATACAAATATTAAAAGGTAATTTTGAATTTATAGATAAAGTTCTAAAATTCGAATTTAAATTAAAAATAAAATTTATCTTTTTTATCATGTTATCATACTTAATTCGGTTAATGATCATATGCAATCATGTTAGGAACTTTTGTTATTTTTTATAATTATTTAAATACTACTTCGCCTCTAGCAAAAAAAAAAAAACTACTCCATATAACTATAAAACTCTTTCACATTTAAAATCCTATAAGTATAGTTATTTGAAACACTGCAGCTAGATTTGAACAAAACAAAATTCTTTTAAAATAAATGTAATATATAGGGTACACGTCTATGTTTATCTAAATAACAAAAAAGAGTTTACAAAACCAAATAAAAGTTTACTTACATATATAATAAAGTAAACATACATGCTGGAGAAAGAAACATCACAAAATTAATCAATATTAAAAAAAAGTTATTTCTTTTTTCTTCTTGAAGAATATTTGTTTGAATAGTCAATTTGCATAAATGGACATCAAACAAATAACAAAACTTTGGCTAAACAATTGCTATAATTAAGGGTATAAGTTGAAACCCTTCTTTTAGATATAGTCAAGCCAATATTGCAAGGGTATAATATTCTTTTCGTTGAAGAATATTAGTTTTGAATCATTAGATTATGTGAAAGATTTTTTTTTTCCAAACTCAACAAGAGAGAAATTGGTTTCTAATTGATAGTTTTGATAGCTACTTTTAAGCGTAACAAAGAGCATATATAAAGAAAAAATTGGTATGACGTGAACTATTTTTTTTTAAAAAAGTAAAAAAATTATTTCGAAAAACTCTTTACTTTTTTCAATCAAAGAAAATAAAAAGATAAGATATTTTTGAACATTAGTAGAGAGTTTTAAAATTATTATAATAGAAGTTATATCATGGATAAGCTCAAAAAACCAAAATCTTATGGAATATTTACATAATATCCGGCCATATTTATTGTTTACTTTTTATAGCTAATATAAATAGATGATATACCGACAACACACGATTATACACATATTATATATGGATTATATATAAATTACACATCATTCAATTTTTTAATTTAAGTGGTCGAGTGAGCACCTATTTAGGTTGATTAGATAAAGCCAAAAGAAAAATATGAAATAACTTCAACCAAAGACTAAAAATATAACTAAAGTTCATATGTAGACAATTTTTATTAAAACTCATCCTTTTATAGTGAAATAAATTAATTTTTTGTAACAAAAGAAATAATGACATAAAAAATAAGATAAAAGAAAATAAATATTGAAAAAAATGTTAGAAAGATCTAAAAACGAGAAATAAAAGATGGCAACAAATTTCTTCTTATGTTTCATCTTTGTTGAGTATAAAAAATTTAAAAGTTAATCTCATCGATTTCAAATATTTTTTTTCAACTCAAATACATAGATTATAAGATAAGATATCTTAGAATATTTTTTTAATTTACATTATGTGTCGTTTTAAAAAATCACTATTACTAACAAACTGATATGATATTCGAATTTGAATTGGAATGCAGTTTGAGTAATTTGCATTGAGGTTAAGCCAAGTATGGTGTCGAAAAATAAACCGCTTGACAATTTTAAGACAATATAAGCAATGTTTTATAATAATAATCAACTAATTTAATATTTAATGATTCAAAGAATTTTTTTTTTGTATATATAGGGTATTAAAAATTCAAATTCTGGGCTAGAGATATGGATAAACTTAAAGTGGAGTCATACTGAAATAAATCCGGCCAAAGAAGCATTTAAATTTTTAGATAGCTGATTAAAGTGAATTTCTAAATTAAAGATAATATATTCACTTGCATCATCATAAAGATAATCTTTATTATAATATATATAAAGTTTTAGAAATTGAAATTTCAAAATAGAAATATTTTTTGAAAGATAAAACCATACATAATAAGAGTTCAAGTCGTAGTATAAGAGTCACGTCGTAATCAAAGAATCGTTTATGTCATGTCAACCTTAGGGATTTGCCATAAATATGAGTTATTATTTCACTTTTGTGGCTATTTTTAGGTTCCAATGACACCTATGAGAATAGTGCAAAAATAAAATTATCACTAGGAGAATTAAAAAAAAATGTTAGTCTTTTTTCATGTAGTGTTTCTTAATTAATATCTGACGATTATCTATAATTATTTAGAANACAATTTGAAACTTCACTAATAAAAAGAAGAAAGTTAGCAGAAATTCAGCAAGCAGCAGGGCATGTTAATGTAGAGAAATTCAGCAAGCAGCAGGGCACGGAATTCACACTTTCTTTACTGTTGTTGGGTAATAACATCTGAAATCTTCCCCTTAAGACTTAGAGCCCAAACATCAGCTCTTGGTGCAGTGGAACGCAGTGTTAGTAGTGTTGTGATTGCAATGTCTTTCCTCTCTGTTTCTCGAATGATTACAGTAGGAGGAACATTGTACAACTGAAATCCTAAATGCTTCTGTTCATGTGATATTCCCTTATGCATCTGAATGCTTACAGATTGAACTATTGAAGGTATCATTTAATGGAACTAATTTAATATCTATGCTTAGTTACTTATATTTATGGCTTTGGGACATAAATGGAATTTTTACAGCTTATGCTCTTGGCATTTATATATAGATTCCAACAATCAAATTTGCTACAACTTGACTTCTTTTCAGGAAGGACATATTTGGATTGTTGCAACTGTAGTAAATCTTCTACTTGAAAAAGAATGGTCATATTTGGGGTGCAAGAGATGCTCGAAGAAGATTGACAAAATTGGAAGTAAATTTTACTGCAAGAAATGTGATCGCCTTGATAGTTCTGCTACTCATAGGTTTGATAAGCTTCACTATTTACTTTGAAATAGAACTAAAGTTGCAAGTTACAAAAATAAGGACCAATTTTACTATAAAATATTAAATAAAACTAAAGTTTCAATTTCTTATTCTAAACGTGTCTTTCAGGTACAAGCTTCGAGTGCAAGTAATGGATCACACTGAACCAATATTAATAATTGTGATGATCCAATATCGGCAATTGTTGAAAGTACATATCCAGATTACTTTAACCATTCCAGTGACATTGATTACCTCCAGCAAAGAGCAATTCTTGCTCCGACTCTTGATATGGTTGAGTCGATCAATGAATATATGGTTTCACTCAATCATAGTCCTAAGAAGACATATTTGAGTTCTGATACGGCTTGTATGTCTAATCATTCTTTTTCAGCTTTGGAGCACGTACATACACCCGAATTCCTAAACAGTATTAAATGTTCTGGAATTCCAAATCACTCTATTACTTTGAAGGTTGGTGTTCCTGTGATGTTGTTGAGAAATATAGACCGGTCGTCAGGATTGTGTAATGGCACGAGGTTGATCATCACAAGACTTGGAAATCGAGTTATTGAAGCCAAGGTTTTATCGGGTAATATGGCTGGACAAAAAGTATTTATCCCGAGAATGACGTTGACGCCATCAGATGCAAGAATACCTTTTAAGTTCCAGCGAAGATAATTTCCAATTGTTGTATCTTTTGCCATGACAATTAATAAAAGTCAAGGCCAGTCATTGTCTCATGTGGGATTATTTTTGAAGAAGCCAGTATTTACTCATGGACAACTGTATGTTGCTCTTTCATGCGTGACGAGTAAAAAAGGGTTGAAGATTTTAGTTTATGATGATGATGGCCAAATAACGAATGAAGCTAGAAA